TACCTTCCTATGAAAGAGGCTGCAACAGGTTGCTTAATACCAGCTGCTTGTCACCCTGGCAAGTCATCCCAAAGGTGCAACCCCTTGAGTAGACCCCAGGGGTCGCTGTGGAGACAAAGAAGGCTCCAGTCCCCATAGAGGTGAAGTGACTCCCACTTGCCCCTTGAGCTTCCCACAGCTCAGCTCCCTGAGGTGAGCTCTCCTCAGGCGAGGCTTCAGGTCAGCAGGCCTCACTTGGAAGAGTGTAACTAACCGCTTCAAATATAAAGCTGGATTTCTAAGAGGGTTTTCCTTAGTCTTTGAAAAGTAAAAGTAAAAGAAATCCTGAAAGAGAATGTGGCCTAAATTATATGTAACCACAATCAGGCACTAGCATTAGTACAAGCAATGATGCAATAAAAACAGGGGAATTAAAATTTGGTCTGTTGTGTATTAATAACTCAATCATCATGGACATCAAGGAGTTCGGCTCTCTCTCTCTCTCCTTTCTTACACACACAAAGAAAATCTTTAAAAATGAAATTCTTGAACATAAAACTGTGTTCCTGCAATTGCTGATATTTTCCTTCATTGGGCAATGGGCCAATCACCCCACAATCTGTATAGAAAGCTACATCCATGTATAGTATTCAGTCGAATCCATTCTACATGCCATGAGTTCACGTGGAAAATTACAGCATAAATCAAAAAGGAGATTACTTGGTATTAAATGTTTAACATTCACATGAAGGAATTACAATGAAAACCTCATTGAGATTTTTCAGGCTGTGTATTTTAGTTTATCTAATTCAATATGATAGAATAAACCAGCATGAATATTTACTTTTTTCAGTTGCCTGGCCTGGAGATTGCACTCTTCATTAGCATGAACTGCTTATTTTCCCTGCCAGGGAAATCCAAGATAATTCCTCACATCTTTCTCTGTCTTCTGACTAATATCCCATTGCTACTGACTAGACTCCCTATGGAGAGGGACACAGTCATGGCGTAGGCTAAATGAAGGAGAGCTTTGATGTCTTTACTGTAGGCACTTTATGATCAAAATAAGAGAGTGGGTGCTGCCCAGACAATCTAATTCAAACCCCCACTTATTGAATTTTTGGATTATCGTTCTATTCACTGCTCTCATTGTAATGCTCTTTTGATCAAAGAAACATTTTATTTTTTAGGTTCTTAACATTAAAATGATACTATTAGCAAAGTCGGTAACCAGAAACAAATACCAGGGCTATCAGGAGTTCTTAAAAGGAGACTTATTGATATTTAGGGCCAGATAATTTGAGTGTGTGTCACACACACAGACACATGTGTTGAAGGGGACTACAGGGACTTGTTCTGTGCATTCTAGGTATGCTATCAGTACCCCTGGCCTCTGCCCACTACATGCCAATAGCTGTCCTCTAGCCCAAGTCTGACAGCAAATATGTCTCCAGACTTTGCCAAATGTTCGCAAAGGGTAGGAGCAAAGTTACTGCAGTTAGACACGCATTGTGTGCCTAGTCTGCTATGAAACAGAAAGGGAGAAGAAAGAAAGAAAATGAGACTTCATCTATCCCCCTTCCCCTTTTCTTTTTGACTGTTCCACCCTCTACACCAATTTTAATAGTCTATCATCCACATTCTTATCCTCTGTAACAGAGTTACTATTTCTAAATTTCTTAAAAGCTTCCGCAGTGTCATTTGAATAGATGCACCTTAAACCTCAAGTGGATTGTCAGAAGGACCAGAAGAAGTTCACTAATTCCTTGGCCCTCCCTGGTGGCACAGTGAGTTAGAGCGCTGCACTGTGAAGTCTAAGCCAAGCTGTGGCCACTTCAGTGTGAGTTCGATCCCTGTCCCCGAGGTGACCCACTTGGAGCAGCAGACCTCTCCCGACCCGCCCACTGCTCCCCTCAGAGTGTACTTTATTAATCTGTCTGTTCTGCTCTCTACTCTGGTGAATCCTCTCGTACCCCTACACCTCTGGCCTGTACCCCATTTCTGTAATAATAAATACAATCTTAAAAAAAAAGTAGGTCACTAATTCCCAATGGGTAAATGATCAGTAAACTTTAGTATAACTCCACTTTGAGCGTTAAGCTAACAGCATGTGAAAAGATCAATAAGAATAAATTCAAAACTAATCAGGCCCCTTCTTTCAATGTTGACACAGTATTATTTATATCCCATAAATACCTTCTTGACTAAAATTCATCCTAGGAGATTGGCAACTGGCCAGTTCTATTCATATTTACTGTATTTATATAATATTCTTGGCCAAGGATAATATTTAAGACAAAATATGCCTGAAGGCATATACAATATCTTTTATATTTTTACTTTTCAATCTCCATTGCTAAAAATATTTCGTCTGAACCATAGAAAATGTCCCACCAAGTGCTATCAGCAATCTGTAATGATATATAGCTCATTGAGTACAATCAGAGCATACTTGTAATATTTGAGCTGAAGTCACTCCCTGAACGCTAATAAGTTGGTGGTAAAAAATGAACCAGAGATCGTTCCCATGCCTTCCTCTCTAGGGCTTCTGACCCTCGCCGGGATCACTGTAAGAAATGATAGGCACACTCTCTCCTCACAGCCACTCCAGTGAGGGCCAAGTTAAAAGCTAGGCAGAAAAGTTCTAAAAGGGGAAAGCTGATTTAGAAGTCAAGGTTATGCTTTCAATTTGCTCGTTAAAAATATGGTAGAGTGATTTCTTCTTTTCGTCTTTTTTTTTTTTTTTGGAAAGTTTCACTATATTCCAGTATAACCAGAAAGTGCTGGGAAATCAGTTAACTTACTTGCTATAAAATTATCCACAGTCTCTGCAGAATAGTATTAACCTCTGTGAATATGGCTTTCTGCTCCTAAATTTCCATACAGCACACAAGCGTCAAAATGTCTATTTTCCTGGTAGGAAAGCAGACAGCCTATTTTTTATACTGGATTTGTAGAGAATTTTAACTGATGTGGTGGTGGGGGTTGGGAATCCACACCCTGCTGTTCCATGCCACCCTCTGAATTCCTACAAATCTGAGAATTTTCCCCAATTGGTGATAGCTGTGATTCTCAGCTAGTACTGGATCATATCAGCTCTCCAGACTGGAGTCTGCTCCAAAGAACAAAGAATTGATCCCCAAGGGTCACTTGCTCTCTCCACCTATCTAGTGAAGAGATCAGACCTCCTGCCTGGTGTAAAAAGTGCCAGCAGTTCATTAGAGCTTTGCAGTAAGGAGGGCAGAATAAGTTGCTCAGATTCCTTCAAACACACTTGCCTGTCTCCCCAAATACCAAGTAACACTGATGCACATACTGGAAAAGCAACCGATTCAACTCCCTGTTTGGTCTCCTTGGTTTTGAACTAATTACAATGAACTTTCTTTCCTAATATCTCCTTGGCTCCATCCCAGGTAGAAAAGCTTTCCCTCCCCAGGGGAATAACCAGGGTGGAGCATTATTTATCACCACTGTTGTGGATGGAGCCATAATTACAATAAAATCAGCCTGCTTGCCAGGATCTCCTGCATCTGCTCTGCTCTGGAACAAGAAGAGGAGAAGCTGCAGCCCCAGGAAGGTGGCCAGGAAGACTGGGTTAGACCCAGCGGCTGACATTCTGAGTCCATCAAGTACAAGACATGGCAAGTCATAGAGCTCCCCAGCGTCAAACTAAAAAGAAATATTAAAATAGAAGAGCACCACCCTGCAATTAGAACCTCTAGGATAAAATTACCAAGATGGCCATATTATCTATTTAGGCAAGACACAGAGACTTTGTGCGGAGAGCCTGCAAGAATGTAGAGCATGTTAAGGGGAGGAGAGAAATGGGCAACCAATGAAAAGTTTATGACTTGGGATTTGGAATACGCAAATGTTGAAGTGGTATTTTTTTTTCTTTTTCTTCTTCCTGGTATTTAACCCTGTCAGGTATCACCGAATGCATCCTCTTTTTCTTTCTTTCCTTCCTTTTTTTAAGGATGTGAAAATAATTCCAAGTTAACTGTCCTTTTCCCTACCTCCCTAGGAAATGCAGAATAAATCACTTCATTCCCATTGCTACTGGATGGTAGTTGGTTTTGAGGACACTGCCCTCAAGAAAAGCCTGTAAGGAAAAAAAAAATCGACTGTCTTCTACTGGCTCTGAGATCTAGGACTGTGCCCAAGCGACTTCAGGAAGCCTTTGCGAGAAGAGCCAGCGGCAGGCTCAAGGGGGAGAAAGATAAACCCTAAACCCTTCAGAAAAAAACGATCTGCTACACGGCGATCTTAAGAAGCAGGGCTGGGGGAATCCTGGAAAACAGCAGGAAGTAAAATCTGTTTCTACGTCGTCAGAAACCAGGTTGTCTTTTCTACTGCTCCAGGTGAAATCAAAAGGGACTCGGTTGGAAGCTCTGGCCTCGGGGGATGTAAACAGCCATAGATTCCAAACTGAGGGTTGTCGGTAGGTTTCCCTAAGGGTCTCCAAATCGGGGTTTGTCTTGGCTGTGCTGACAATTTAGGGGTGCTAGAGACAATAGCGAAAGCTCGGAGAAGGACAGATAGGTCCTCACGAAAAAGGGCGCCTTCCGGAGAGGCTAGTTTTGAGCCACTTTTTTTTAACCCTTCTTGCACCGGATTTTGAGGGAAGCTCCAGGCCAATGGGAGCCCAGACGGCAAACCTACCCAGGTTTCCCGCTTCAGCTCTGCCCCCACCCCCCAGCCCCCCGGGCGCCCCAGGGTTGACAGAGGGGGCTGACTTCTAGTCGGTGTGGGAGGAAAGAATTTTGGGGGAGAGAAGAGAATCACGCCTGAGAAAGGACTGAGGCGTGGGGGGAAGGGACACGGGGAGAAAAATCAAGTCTAAGGTCAAAGTTTTGGAGCCGAAGGTTCCCAAATCACACACTGGGGAAGAAGGGGGTGGGACGAGGGACTGCAGGGGGAGAGCAAGCGGGGACCGGAGAGGGAAGGGCGAGCCCCGGAGTGGGTGGGGGTTTGAGAGCAGCGCTGAGCCTCGGAATGGAAGGAAAAAAAACAGTACTTACTTTCTGAGGGCAAGAAGGACGGCATGTCTATCTTGTAAACCTCTTTGGCGTAGTACTCCTCGTCACTCCTCTCGCGCTCGCAGGCAGCCGCCCTCCGACTCGCCTTCTCCTGGAGCAAGTCCCGGGTGCTGTTGTAGATGGAAATCACCTCCGGGGGGACTTCCTCGGGCTCTGGATAGTCTTCTGGGGGGCTGGTGAGCTTCAGCTTGCTCAGGATCTGCCCTCGGATGGCCTCGATCCTCTTACGCATGAACTGGTCCATGTCGAGCGTGCTGCAGGTAGACAGGCTGAGCGCCACCGTCACCAGATGCAGGAGCAGAAAAGCGCTCAGCACACAGTAGTGCATTTTTTTAAAGGTGGAAAACTTTTTTTTTAAGTGGAAAAAAAAAAAGGTCGGGAGGTAAAAAAGAAACCAACAACTCTCAAAGTACAAATCAGGTAGATTTTTTTAATGCGAAACTTTTGCAAACCATCGAGCGTCAAAGTCCAAGAGGAAAAAAAAAGTAGCTTGCTGGAATTCCTTTAAAAAGAAGCGGCAAGTCCTTTCCAAAGTGGAAATAGGAATGCACGAGGGGCAGGGGGAACCCTAACTTTGGAGAGCAGGATAAAGTTTCCTGGGAGCGACGAGATGGGGGAGGGAAAGAAGAGTCGAGTGGCTCGGAGGCAGAAATGGATTTAGGAGGAGGAAACGGAGTTCAGTGTGTCAGTTTCGGACGCGGAGTGGCGGATCTGAACTCGGCTCCTCCGGCCAAAAGGGAAGAGAGGACAAGGTCCGGGGGCTGGCAGCTGGTGCGGTGGCGGGAGGGGCTCTGGCGCTTGGCGGGGCGGGGGCCCCAGGCTGCCCCTGAGGGAATTTATGTATTTAAAGAAGGAGCGGGGTCGCCTGGCCTTCCACCGCAGCGCTGATTGCAGAAGGAGCCGCAGCTCGGGATCGCCGGAGCGCACACGTGTGTGCGCGTGTGTGCGTGTGTGTGTGTCCGTGTGCGCGCGCTGGGGGCGAGCCGGGCGCGCCGCGGGGAGGCGGGTGCGCGGCTCTGGGTGCTCGGGACTCGCTCGGGTGGAGGTGCTGAGGCGGCGATGATCGGCCTGCAGGAGCTGTGCGCGGTGGCCTCCACCCCGGCGGGTTACTCCACGTTGCCGCCGCCGCTGGCCGGTGCGTCCAGCCTCCAGCTCCCTCCTCCTCCTGTTCCTCCTGCGCCTCTCGCTCCAAACGCCAACCCCGCGACCGATGACTGGCTGCTGCCGCCGTGGCTTTCACCCCTGCCAGCCCCCAGGACCGCTGACTTGGGGGGCTTTATTCCTAAGGGCGTGGCGAAGGGGTTCCCTGGGGCTCCCACCCTCTCCTGGTTTCGCTCCTACTTGGACTTCCTCGCTTCGGGTAGGTAGACACTTGGCAACCTGAAATACACCCAGTCCTCCTTTCCTTCTTCTGCAGGAAGGCAGCCCGTCAGCAGTTTGTTTCCCACTGCCTCCCTAGACCGTTAGCCTATGTTCTCCATTCCCTCCCCATGCTTCTTTCACTTGCTTCTTTCTCTCTCTCTCTTTCTCTCTCTCTCTCTCTTGTCGGAGGCTTCTGGAGCTCCCCTTGGAGCGAACCTTCTGCTGCCAGCAGATAACATCACGATCTTGCCCGGGAGGAGAGATTTATAAGTTCCCTCTGAACCACGTGTTTGCCTTCAACAAAATGACTTGCTAGAACTGCAGTCAGAAGTCCTCTCATTTACTTAGACCTCCTTTGCTGGCCCTGAGAAGTAGAGGGGGTGCGCAAAGGAGGGGGGGGGCTTTGGGGGAGGGGGCAGGAGGTGGAGTGTGCGCCCTGACAACAGTGATTTACGGTATTTACTTTATATAGTCATTTTGGACCGGTCTGCTGAAGGGCAAGCTATCAACTCTCCCGTTTCTATTTAGCGTGGCTCTTTCTCAGTTTCCCAAACAGAATCACTTGTTCTGGGATGGAAGCTTCCCCTCTCTCTCTCTTCCCCTACCTCTCCCCCCACCTCTGCAGTTACTTAGGGCCAGGCCAACATCAAGTGTGTCCTCTCCAATCTAGGAATCACCTCCTACCTTTTCATGGAATCACTTTCTGAGTTTCCATAGCAAAGGACTAACACCCTAACATGCTGTTCCAACAAGCTGGTCGGGGGCTGATCTCAGCATATTTGAGTCTAGTCTACACCTTCGTTTGTCTGGAAACTGCTGAAGGCAGAGCTCTATCTTTTTCACCTGAAGAATGAAGTCTATTTGCTTGTCTTGCTGTTTGAGGGAATAAACAGATAGCCTGTTTCCTCTGCTGCCTGAACCACTCTTAGTGGCTGTCTCTTCACCTTCTTCCCCTGCCACACACTGGCGACCACCTCATTCTTTCCATGGCACACATCCAGGAAGCCAGGACATGGGTGTGAGACTCCCATTATGTGCCACACTTGACCTGGTATTTTTTATTTCATTCTAGTCCAAATTAGAGGAACACAAAATAAATCTTGCCACTATTCACTTTTCCCTTTTACCTTTAGTTACTCAAAGTCAACATTTTCATTTCATCAGGACTCGGTGCCCTTGTCCTCTACACAGAAGGTTGAAACTGGAAACGGTTGAGTTTTCCACCAACTCAAACCTCTGTATTATTCTGTCCTTCACTTGTTCTTTTTATTGCAGAAAGTCACTGGGAATGTTCTCTGACTTGGAAATTACCCTGTATAGTGTATACCTAGGGCTGGATGAACAGTACAGGTAACAATAGCTAGTACATATTCCAGTTAGTAATGCAGCCATATAACATATATGGCCATATGCTATCTAAGAGCAGGAATTACTATAATTACTCATATGTCAGTAAGGAATACAGCAGAGAGGTTATAGGTCTTGTCTGACCCAAGTTGGGGTTCAGCTGGAATTTTCAGTCAGGATCCTTTGCTTCTATTCTCACCTACTCTGTACTACAAATAACTGTTTGAAGACCATTGGTCTGGCAAGCAGGGGTTCTGGTGAAGTCCATTTGGAAGAAAGCAGGTGCTCTGTACTCCAGCATCATGTAAAGCCTCTGAGAATCTTGCAGGGAACCATTCAGCTCTTTCAAACCAGCATATTCCAGATTCCTCTGAGCATGGAATTTTCACCTTATTAACACACTTTGAAAAGCTCTGCAATAAAAGACTTGCTCCAAACTACTTCAGGATAATTCTGGAGATGATTTACCAGCAATTTCTTTTTCTTGAGGCCAGTTTCGAATTGAGGCTTCAATTTCTTGAAGCAACTTGAAAGGAGTTAGATAACCAGCAGCTCCTCCAACAGTCAAGGCAAAAATATAACCAAGAGGAGCTTCCTTGGGGCTAAAGTTTATATCTAGAGACCTCCAGATATTAGAGAGCCCCAATAGCTCAGCTGTCCATAAAGCAGAACAAGAGAACATTCTTACATTGGGGCAGTCACAGAGCACAGGGCAGGAGTGTCTGTGATTCAGAGGTGTGAACATAGAGCTTTGGCATAAGGCCGGTGGCTTCAGAGCGCTGTCACTGATGATGCCATGCTCTGCCGAGGACCTAACGGCAGCCTCCACTCGAGCCAGGGCAGCTACCTTCTTAGTATCCACACACTTGAGCTGATTAGATGTGGAGGATGCAGATTAGATGTGGAGAGAGCAGCAAAAATCCATCTACATCACTTCTACAATAACCTAAGCCATGAATTCTTCTGACCATACCTTCCTCCCCAACATAAACACACACACACACTTTGTCTCTAATACTTAGCTCATCGAACACACTTCTTACTAAATAATCCCTGAGACCCTTGACCTATTTCTAAGAGGTTGTTTTTAATTTCCCCCAAAGCCCAAGGAGAGCTGGGGAATCTGCTGACTGGTAGGAAGTACAGCACCTAAAACAGAAGAGGTGTCCTTTCTACCTCATAGGCGAGTGCTCCTTTGAAGGCAGAAAGGGCAAGATCCAGCCTCCAGAGGATTCTTGGAATGGTTTATCTCTTTGTTCAAGATGCAAATGTGATGGCAGTTCTGAAATCTTCCAAGTACTTGGGACTTGGCCTCATGTTTAAGGTAGAAGCTCTTGAGCGCCTGGAGAGGAGCTGGCTGTCTGGACCACCCCAAAATGTAGATAAGCAGTGTAGAGTCCTGACTGGCCCAAGGAGGCAGGGGAATAGCAGGGTTAAAAGAGCAGGTTGCAGAGATAAGTTTTCTCAAGTTAAAATTTCAGTCACTTTGTGATCCTGGCCCAGTTACTCATTTTGTGTGTTTCTTTCTCTGTGAGTTGGGCATGACTCTCTGTTCCAACGATGGTGTGCAGATGATGCCACACCAGGTATGGGGGCACCTGGTGCATCACCTGGTACTTTACCTGCTCTTCAAGTGTTACCACCATTAGCTCACCCTCTCTCGTCTCATCTCCCTTTTGACCAGAATAAGAAAACATATGGGACTGCTTGGGAAGATGTCAGGGGCAGAGGGAAAACCCAGGGAGACACCTGTCAATTTATTTCATGGTTGAATCTCCTAGCGGGCTCTGGAGAGGTACATGCTTATTGAGGTACAGGCTCATTTTAAACATGACAATATTTTGCCCTCAGTAATTGTAGGAAGAAAGGACAAGAAGACAGATTTTTAATGAATAGAATCCTGAATGGCTGTCAAAGTCCAGTAATGTCCAAATTCAAGATTGGCTTCACAGGCTGGAATGGAATTCTGTTATCCTGCTCAGGAAGGTAGAAGGTGCAGCTTTTCAGCCACTAGCCTTCTGCTGTGCTCTGCTCACTAATGGGTCTGGCCGCTTCAGTGCTGTGGCTGGTGTCCCTACAAGAGGCCAAACAAAAGTTTGAGATCGAGATAACTAAGAACCCCTGTTTTGGAGTTTTACCCTGACAGAGCACAGGTAAGATTTCATAATCCAGGGCTTAGGGCAAACACTGATGAAAGAATAACTTCATTTGTAATGATTTTGAAGCTTCCCATAATGGCTTCAAACATGAAACCCAGGAGGTGGGGAAAAGAAACACGGGGACTCCTGTTATTGATTATATTTTCATGTAAATTGTGACACTTGATACATTAAAATGGGAACATACATCAAAAACTGTTTTTCCCCCTTCTAATTTCATCTTTGATGAAAACAATATTTGGTCTGTAACAAATTTTGTCTCAGATTCTGTATGCGTAGCTCAATAACACCTTTCTGCTCTCAAAATCAAAATCTGGAGTGATCAGTAGCCTCTTTCCCCCATGAAAGGGAAGCCGAGGTAGATCTCCTTGTAGCTATAGGAATGAAGTGATGAGGAGAAAGGAGGGACCAGTGGAGGGAGCAGGGCTTACCCGGTGTGCTCAAAGTTAAGGGGTGACCTCGAGACACAGGAGTGGAGAAGACAGCGCACAGCAGAAGGTTGTGGGGCTTTACAAAGAGATGACTGACCCTGTTCAGTGACACACCAGGGGCTTGGTAGTCTGACCCTTCGGAAATATGATTAGCCGGTGGCCTACTGCATGTGGGCTTGGCCCACGAGACCAGTCCCAGTGGAGGGAAGTGTTTCTTGAGAGCCTGCCTCC